TTCGGCGACGATCCGCTCAACTCCGGCGAGATGCTGTCGGTCTCTTGCACGATCGTCAAGGGCGACTTCCCGGTGAATTTGACGTGGACGTTCGACGACACGCCGATAGACTCGAGCCGACCGGACGTTAATATCATAATTAATAAGAGGGTCAGCTTCTTGAGCATCGACAGCGTGGCGGCCAGGCACGCTGGGAGATACAAGTGCATCGCGTCGAATGCCGCCGGATCCGACAGCCACACCGCCGTGCTCTCGGTCAACGGTATCTCATCCCCCTCGACTACACGACTAATTTGTTACAACTTCTTTCCTTTTTTTTTTTTTCTTTTTTCTTCTTCGTTTTTCTTTTGTTTCTTCGCCAACTTTGTAAGCGGCCGATTAAAAGGGCGCGCCGACCATTTTCAAGTGGCGATCGATCCGTATAAAACGCCCGGGTTCAAGCTTTTCGGCTTTTCGAATGTGGGTCGTTCTTTCGCAAAGTATGCCCCACTTTCTCCCCTCCCGTCCCCCTCTCTTGCCGCAACTTTTCGCAGATTAAAGCGTTGATCGATCTGCCAACTTTTACCGGGCGAGACTTCACCTCATCCCCATTTCTCTCTCTCTCTCTCTCTCGCTTTCTCTTTGATTACTCTTTGCCGCAAATGCAAAAAGAGTTTGCCCCCGGTCGGCGCGTTTTTTTTCTCAACGGCTTTGTATACACACATACTTTCTCTTTCTTCTTCTCTCTTTCTCTCTCTCTTTCTCGTAACTTCTTGTTCTCCGCAGTAATCTTCGTATAGTGTAATGATGTTTAATCAGAAGGCCATACCACTGCCGTCGTCGTGCCGATGATCGAACGACGTACGAGCATACCGATACACCGCGTACCGATCGATACATCGCGTGCGAACGTAATAGAAAGATTATTATCGTCATGGACGACGGCAGGTAAGGACACGGTCCATCCCGCGAGATACAGCGAGACGATGGCCCATGTTTCTTTCACTTGTACCGCTTCTTTTTACAGTTGTACTTTATACTCTCTCCCCCCAACGTTCCTCGATCCTCCTCCAAAAAAAGAAAAAAAAAAAAAAACACCTGGTAGCCAATGTCTTTTACAGCTTTGTACTAGTACAGCATCCGTCGTCCCTCTAACGAAAACTTCCGACAGCTCCAACAACACGCGTCGTTCTCGTTCTTTCTTCGTCTCCGTTCCACCTTGAACGGTGAAACGGTGAATCCATCTCTATGGATGGTCGAACGCGCGCGATTTCAATTGGGGTTGTTGTTTGGGTACTTGCAGTCGGGCCGCAATTGGCGCCGTTCGTGTTCGGCGACGAGGCGGCCAACGCCGGAGAAATGGCCACCGTTCAGTGCGCCGTGATCAAAGGCGATTTACCGGTGAAGATCGTGTGGTCGCTGAACGGTCGGGCGGTGGATGTCGGACGCGTGTCCGGCGACCACAGTTACGACATTCCTGACGTCGTCGTGACCAGAAGTAGTAAACGGATCAGCACACTGACGATAGACTCGGTAGCCGCAAGACACGCGGGCGAGTACTCGTGCACCGCGACCAACGCAGCCGGATCCGCTACGCACACCTCGGTTCTCTCAGTGAACGGTACGCTTTGGACACTTAGAGTGTTTGCAACTCTAATGATGCGCGGGTGAATCGAATTGGGTGGTTGGTCGGCCCGGTGTGACATACACGCCAAATTGACGTGAGATTTTTTTTTGTCTCACCTTTGTCTCTCCTCGTCGTTTCTCTGGTCTCTGTAAGACGACGATGATCGTGTATTGCTGTTTTTCTTTCTTTTTTCTTTTCTCTCTCTCTCTCTTTCTCTCTCTCTCTCTCTCTCTCTCTCTCTCTCTCTCTCTCTTTGTATCGAACAATGCAGCGAGCATTCCGATATCCATCCAGCGTTGTTGTCACGTCTCGACAGTGTCGCCGCGCATTGCCCCGTTCGAAATGGCCGACAGGGCCGTGAACTGGGGCGATTCCGTGTCGGCTGTCTGCACGGTAGTCAACGGGGACTCCCCGCTCGAGATCAGCTGGGCGTTGAACAGTATGCCCGTGGACGAGAGTCATCGGATATCCGTCACTACCACGAAAAGGAACAGCCTGCTGTCCATTGATTCGGCCAGTCCGAGCCACGCGGGCACGTATACCTGCGTTGCCTCGAACGCGGCCGGCGCCACCAGCTATTCGGCGGAATTAACCGTGAATGGTACCTACACCTACGCACATAGGTAGAGGCACACAGACCCGAAACACACAGAGACACAGAGACCAGACACACCCTCGTCTTCACGTCCCTTCTTCGTTCTACTCGATCCTCCTCCCTCTCTCCTTCGTTCGTCGTGAATCCCACGTGTAACGTACGTGTCGCCAACGAGAACGTTCGCGTCACCTCGTCGGATTCCAGACGTGCAATGTGGCAGATGGTACGATGGTCGGTTACAGTCGCACCGCAGATCGCTCCGTTCGCGATCACCGAGGAGCCAGCGAACTGGGGCGAATCGATTTCCGTGGTGTGCGCCATCCTCAAGGGCGACCTGCCGATCGAGATCACGTGGTCACTGAACGGCGAGCCGATCAGCCGCGATCGTTCGGATATTAACGTTCTGGCGACCACGCGAAAGAACAGCATCCTCAGCATCGAGTCCGTGGCCGCGAGACACGCCGGCGAGTACACGTGCTCTGCGTCCAACAAGGCCGGAGCGACCAGCCATTCGGCCATCCTGGCTGTCAACGGTACTTTCCCTCTTCGGCTGAGACGTGTTTCTTTCCTCTCTTTTGCACTCCTTTCTCTCTCTCTCTCTCATATTGCCAAGTCCAAGTGTCGGTGTCGGTGGTTGAGGCTCTTGGAATCTCTCAGATCAGACAGACACGCGATCGATCCTCTCTGACTCGCGAGACGTGCTCCAAGTTCGAATAGACGCAGGTAGTTAAGGCCTTTGTCCATTTCCGAGAGTTTCTCGCGAGAGTACTCTCCAGCGTTGTGTCCATTTGAGAGCAGCTTCGAAGAATTTTCGCTCTCCAAGAGAGGCCGAAACACTCTCCGAGAGCTTACTGTCCGATAGAACTCTCGAAACCGTCTCCATGTGAGAGTTCATTGTCTCTGGTCCTACTCACCTGCGATGTAGTTTAGTGCGATGGATGTGCAAAAAAATGTGTACCCTCATAGTTGCCTATAATATTTTGGGGAAAATGAATAATCAACACGAGAAGAAAAGTTGAATAATTTAAATTATTAGATAATATTTAATATAATTACATATTATAATATAATATAATTATTATTATTATATTATATTTATTACAATTATACTATATTATATTATATTTATTATATTATAATTATATTATGTTAATTATATTATATTATATTATATTTATTATATTTATTATAATTATTATAATATAATGTAATTATAATATACATATTTAATATAATTACATATTATATATTATATAATGTTTATATTTATATATAATATAATTAAATAAAAAATAAATAATTATATAATATAATAAAATAAAAAATAAATATTATATAATATAATATAATTATTATATGACAATTTAAATTAATAACTATTCAATTATTATATAATATAATTATACAACAATTTAAATTAATAATTATATAATTATTATATAATTAAATATAACAAATTAACTATAACATTTAATTACAATATTATATAATATAATTATTATGTAATAATTTAAATTAAAAGAAATTAGTTCAGTGATTTCACTTGTTGACCACACTTTTTTCTTATTACTCATTATTCTGCTCGCACGAGAGTACTCTCAGGACTTGGAAGCCGCTTCGAATTCTCTCCGAGAGCAGTTTGGACAATATTCTGTCCATTTGCGAACACAGAGCTGTCGACAGAACTCTCAGACAGTTGAGCGACGTTCTCGTACAGTAACTCTCAGAAGCAGTATCCAATTAGCAGCCTCGACAGTTTTACTCTCCAGTGGGCACTTAGCTTTACGAATCGATGATTAGACAATTAGACAGTGTCGAGGATTTGTTCGTAGTTGCTCCCGAGATAGCTCCGTTCGTGATCAGTGAGAAACCGGCGAACTGGGGAGACACGGTCACCGCAACCTGCACCATGCTGAAGGGCGACTCGCCGATTCAGATCGAATGGGCCCTCAACGGCGAACCGATCTCCCACGATTATTCCGATATATCGATCGCCACCAGCAGGCGCGTCAGCTTGCTGACGATCGACGCGGTGACGGCGAGTCACGCCGGCGAGTACACCTGCATGGCCAGCAACGCCGCCGGTGGCACGAGTTTCACCGCGACTTTGGCCGTGAACGGTACACAATGCGTGTTCCTTGCTCTCCAAAAAAGAAACTCTCAGTCTGTGCTTCAGTTCTCCCGATGCATGCGGGTAGCTCTCCTCTTTCCATCATCCATCGCATCCCTCTTAATTTCCCCTCCCCTTTTTTTCTTCTTACTTTTCAAGAAGAAAAACCACGACGACGATTCGTTCCCTGACCTGAAAAGTTGAACTTGAGTTGAACTTCAGCTTACGACACGTCGACTCTTCGATCGAACAGTATTATTCTTCTTTTTTTTTTTTCTTCTTTACCTGTAGTAACGTCGTCGTTTCTTGGAAAAATGTACGAGAGGGAAAATGCTCGTTTCGTTGAAAAGGAAGGTGGCGCTCGAAACTCCCTAAACATATAAATACAAATATAAATGGAAACTTGCAAGCAGTGAAAAAAGCGACTCGGTATCGAGTCTCCACACTTGACACAAACAATTCTCACCAAGCTTCGTTCCCAGCTCGACATTGCCTACAACCCTATCGTCTCTATCTCTCGATCTATTATTCACGAATTATCGTTTCAAGAAGAAAGAAGGGTTTACGCGATTATCGATCAGTCACTATATATATATATATATATATCTCTCGGGAAAGGTTGTTCCACTTTACACCAAACGAAAAAATGCTCAAAAGACGCTCTCTGTGACGTGTTACGTTGGCCGCAGTTGCACCGGAAATCGTGCCGTTCGTGATCGGCGAGGGACCAGCGAATTGGGGGGACACCGTGACCGCGACGTGCACGGTACTGAAAGGTGATCACCCGATCCAGATCGAGTGGGCGTTGAACGGCGAGCCGATTTCGCGTAACCATTACGACATATCGATAGTGAACACCAGCAAGCGTGTCAGCGTACTGACGATCGACGCTGTGACAGCGAGACACGCCGGCGAGTACACGTGTTCCGTGAGCAACGCAGCCGGTGGGACGAGTTACTCCGCATCTCTCGCCGTGAACGGTATAAAAAAACGATGTGTCCCAGTATATAATTTTCTCTTCCCAGCCATCCTCCCCTCCTCCTTTACCTCTCACGCTCTCTGTTCTCTTTTATTTTCGTTTCATCGCATGCACGCGACGCGACGTTTCCATCGTTCGTCCCGTGCCATCACACGATCCCACCGCGAAACTAATAAAGTCGACGACGAGTTTGGTCGAATGTATTCTTCATCGGTGTATTCCAACGGTGAGGATTGTCGACTGTGGATTCTCCACCTCCCCTCTTCTCTCTTTTTTTTATCGACGATTCTCGCGCGACAGAATCTGACCAGCAATTGATCAACAGGCGGAGATCGCATCAACGTGCGGCCATGAATTGCTAAACGATCTGTTTTCCCGTGTCTGTTCCGTTGTAGTTGCGCCGCATGTAGGCCCGTTCTCGATCAGTGACGGCCCGGCGAACTCGGGCGACATGGTCTCGGCCACCTGTTCGATAATGAAAGGCGACTTTCCGGTAGAGATCGTTTGGAGGTTTAACGATAGGGCGATAGGTTTCAACGATCCGGACGTGACGATCACGAGGATCAATAAGCATATGAGCGCGCTGAGCATCGAGTCCGTGGCAGCGAGACACGCGGGCGAGTATACGTGCGTCGCGACGAACCGAGCTGGAAACGTCAGCCACTCGACGACTCTGGCCGTGAACGGTATCTATCTGAGAAGTGAATCAAAGCACGCTTGCACGCTTTGATTTCAAGCCGAGACGCTCTGCTGCACCAATACAGATATGACATGCATCGCACGTGACAAAATGCCGGAACGACTCCCTTCTCTGTTTTCACGCACTTTTCTCTCTCCTGCTTCTCCCCTCTTCGAATTCACCTCTCTCAAAAATCCCTTTCAAATCCTCCAGAAACTAGAGAGAAACCGATCGAAAACTTCTCTCTCTCTCTCTCTCTCTGTCTGTCTTATTCGTTGTTAACGAACAAGTTTCGCGGCGCCCAGTTGCACCGCAGATCTTTCCATTCACGTTCGGCGACGAGCCGGTGAACTCGGGCGAGGCGATCTCGGCGACCTGCTCGATCCTCAGGGGTGACTTCCCGATGGACATATCATGGGCGTTCAACGGCGTGTCGATCGACTCCGAGAGAAGCGATCAGTACACGATCACGAGGAGCAAGCGGCTGAGCGTGTTGGCGATCGATGCGGTGGCCGCAAGACACGCGGGGGAGTACACTTGCACCGCGTCGAACAAGGCTGGAGCCTCGAGCCACACGGCCGTGTTAGCCGTGAACGGTAAAATGATACGCACGCATATGTGTAGAACGGCTGCACGTCGTGTTTTGTCAGACTTCCTTTCGTTTAGACGACGGGAAAGCTGCGACCTCCTCCTCCTCCTCCCCACCTCATTTCTCCTTTTTTCTCTCATCTCCACCTGTGTATTCACCGGTTCATTCAGATTCACCCGTCCTCTGCACACCGTGTCGCGTGTACATACACGTTGGGGGACGTTGGGGCAGTGAAAACTCGCATCCGAGGCCGACGATCGTTATTTAATCGCTGTCTAGCCGCTGTCGCCGAGTGTCTGCTCGTGTCGTCGAGCGATCGCGAGCACTAATTGCAAGAAACTGGAGAAGTACGTCAACGCTGGAGCTTGTAATTGTCAAATTTGCGAGCGAAAGGGACAGGAAACGAAGCCTCCATTTGTACACTTTACTGTTCTACGTTCTCTGTTGTAGAAATTGGCCATTTCGACCATTTCTAGTTCCAGCAAGTTAATGAGCAAGGTATCCTCGAAGCATCGTGTAACGATCGGTTTTAATAATCGTATGAAATTAATGAAACGTGCGAAAGAAAATGTGAACAATTCAGATAGGAGTGAGTTATAGTATGTTCTTCTGTGGATGGATCAGCAAGAGTCATCTGTTTTTTTTTTTTAAATGAAGTCGATTTAGAAAATGGATCGATGGAAAATTTCATTAGAGAAATAAATAATTCTATTTTCTTACTATTCTAACAAAATCGTATAATAGTACATCTCCTGCGATGATCGTTAAAATTCCATTTTAAAAGAACGTTTAAAGCGCTCCCCTCCCACGATAAGACCGATTCGCGTTTATGACAATTAGACTCCAATCAGATACTCTGTACAAACGAACAAGCATAAAAAACAGCTGCGTAACAAAGAGATCGTTTCGCGCGTCGTGGTCGTTTCTTTCAACAACAACAACGACAAATCAACGCGAGTCTGATGCTTTAAAACACGATCTTTCACGGGATCTTTCCAAGATTCTCTCGAATGTGTCGGCTGTGCGAGATTGGACGATCGATCGATTCGCCGACGAGAATGCGGCGTCGTTGATTGGGGAAAAAAAGGAGGACGATCCTCATCGACCCTTCCGTGAACGTTTTTTCAGTCGCGCCGCAGATCGCGCCGTTTTCCATCGGCGACGAGCCCGCGAATTGGGGAGAGGCAGTTTCGGCGGTATGCACCGTCGTTAAGGGCGATCTGCCGATCGAGGTGGCGTGGGCGTTGAACGGCGAGCCTGTCACTAGCAAGAATCACGGTGATATCACGATATCGAGCACCGGGAAACGAGTGAGTCTGATGACCATCGAGGCGGTGAGCGGCAGACACGCAGGGGAATATACTTGCACGGCCTCGAACGCAGCCGGAGCGACGAGCTATTCGGCCACCTTGGCCGTCAACGGTACACAGCAAATGCACGAAACCGAGTGCCGTGGTCATGCAATAGATATCTACGAACGAAACTGCTATCGTTCCCTTTCACCAGCACGCGCCCGTGAATAACTTTTTCGAGACTATCTCTCCTCTTCCTCCTGACTTGACTCCGTGAAAGCATCGTTTTCCCTTCCCCCCTTTCTTCTTCGCCCTCACTCGTCTCTCTCTTCTTCTCCTGGTTTTCCAACGTTCTCGCGTTACGACACACAGGACGTACCCCACATGACTGACCAACGACAGCCGAAGATTTCTTGCAAGATTTGAACACAGCTGTGTTCGGACATTGTTTCTAGTCGCTCCACAGATCGCGCCATTTTCTATCGGCGAGGAGCCAGCGAACTGGGGCGAACAGGTGTCTGCGATGTGCAGCATCTTGAAGGGAGACTCGCCGATCGAGATACGGTGGAGTCTGAACGGGGAGCCGATCGCACGTGCTAGTCACCCGGACGTGAGCGTGACGAAAACCGGGAGAAAGAACTCGGTGCTAATCATCGACTCAGTCACCGCGCACCACGCTGGCGAATATACTTGCGTTGCGAGCAACTTGGTGGGATCCGTCAGCCGTTCGGCGGTGTTATCGGTGAACGGTACTACGCAATTACACCATTAAAGGCCACATCTCGCACGATCTCCCGATGGTTATAAGTTCCCAAAGTCGAGCCCCTCCTCTCTCAACAACACACACCTGCCCCGTTACGTCTCTTTTTTCTTTTTCCTCTTTCTTCTTCTTCTTCTTCTTCTTCTTCTTCTTCTTCTTCTTTTCCACGTACACGCGCGCGCTCTTCTCGCATTCAACCAAACAGAGAGATCCGTTCTCCATCTCGAACAGTCTCTCTCTATCTGCAGTTTGCTCGTCTGATAGTCTCTCCGCAGATCGCGCCGATCTCCTTTGGCGAGGAACCGGTGAACGCCGGTGATCTGGTCTCGGTACAGTGCGTGGTGACCAAAGGCGACTCTCCTCTGGAGATCACTTGGACCTTCGATAGCCAGCCGATCAGATCCGACCGAATGGACGTGATCGTGTCTAGCTCCGGGAAACGCGTCAAGCAACTGACCATTGAGTCCGTAGCTGCGAGACATGCCGGCGAGTACACCTGCGTTGCCTCCAACGCCGCTGGATCGACCTCACACTCGGCCAAATTGGACGTCAACGGTACACGCTTCACGTCGACCAACAACAACCACCTCCGACATTCCCACGCCTTTGTTTCCCTCGCGCTGGCTAATCTAGCCCCGATCCACGACACCCTCCTATCGATATCATCATCACCGTCACTCGTCGTTTCTCTCTAACTTTTGTTCCGCTTCTTTTTCTCGTCTTTCTTTTTCCCCTCCCCTCCCCTCCCCTCCCCTCCCCTCCCTCCGTTGATTTTCTGTTTCCTTTCGACCACCCGCCACGCACGGCGATGAAATTTTAAATTCCAGCTACGTATAGACAGTTATTCCGAAATTAATCCCGTCAAACGCTCTGAAACCTACAGCGATCGATCCGTAGTTTAACCTCTGACACTTTGCCACGCGCGTCGACAATTTCTTGCCCCAAAATTGCAACATTTTCTCAGTTTTAAGTATATTTAAGTATATTTGTCCAGTGATGTCATACCGACGAGGTATCATTCAGAAAGAAAGCGGCGAATTATTGTATACGGTTTGGCACGGTCGCTCGTTACGGTCCGCAATCAGTTGCCAGCGCAAGCGGTTAATTGCAGTTTAATTGCTTTTACAATAAATTTGTATCTATTTTCACGTTTTTCACAAAAATCTTCGCCTCCTTCGCGATGAAGAGAGGCGAAATTACATTTTACCATTTCGAATCAAATGCTAAAAAAATAGTAAAGTATATTAAAAATAAAAAGGTTAGATGATCAATCGGGCTTGACAATATTAATACAAATGCTAAAAAATAGTAATGTATATTAAAAATAAAAAAGGTTAGATGATCAGTCAGGCTGACAGTGAGTCATAGCGTCTCTTCCCCCTTTGATTTGCCATAAACATGAATGTAAAAATACGTGGTAGAGACCTTGCAACGTGGAACGAAACATTCTGAAAACCATGAAACTGTCATTCCATTTTTACGCGAGATCCAACAGAGTCCGTCTGGAACGCAATTAAATGTAATAAATCTGTGTGGAATCAAACTCTTTCCGCCACCGTGCGCGCCGCGTAGAGTCAAGACTACAAGAAAGCGAGACACGTGATATCGGGAGAGAGAAAGAGAGAAGATTCTCCTTTGATCAGGCAGCTCCTACGTCGCACGGTTGCGTGACCGTGGCGCGGTGTGTTGTACGAGCAGTTTGGCTGAACTCGTTCCTCTCAGTTCTCTCTTTTTTTTTTCTTCTTTTTCTCATTCCAGTCATTCCGAAATTATTGCCGTTCACGTTCGGCGAGAAACCGCTTAACTCGGGTCAAGTAGTAACGGTACCGTGCGCCGTGGTCGAGGGCGATCAACCCTTGAAGCTCCGCTGGACCTTAAACGGTCATGCGATCTCGCCGCACTCTGGAATCTCAATCGTGGATCTCGGTGGACGGGGCGCCATACTCAGCATAGGATCCGTCCAGGCGACACACGCTGGGACGTACACGTGTATCGCGGAAAACCTTGCCGGAAGGCACGAGCTCTCGGCCGATCTGATTGTCAACGGTGCTTAACAATCCACAGATCTATACAGATGAACCTCTCGCGCTGGAAACGGACGTGTCACGCACGTCGAACAATTTTGTTTGTCCCCAAAGATTGCAATACTTTCACAGTTTTTTAAGTGTTCGTTACTTGCCAATAACTTCTGTCTAGCGGCTGTCGTCTACCGGGCGAGCTCAGAAAGAAAGCGACGAATTGTTGTACACGGTTTCACACACGGGTCACTCGTTATGGTCCGCAGTCAGTTGCCCAGCGCAAGTGGTTAAACAACGATAGATCTAACTCTCCAACGTCGCACTATAACCTATATATATATATATATATATTTTTGTCTTGATTCCTTTTTTGCCTTTTGAACAACCAGTCCCAAAAAGCTTCCTTCCGTTCGGTTTCAGTAGCAGTAACATATCTCCCTCCCCGTGTGCTTGCGTAACGTTCACAAAGATATATCGCCACCATCCTCTTTTCTTTCTTCTTTTCTTGACCCACCTTGGTTCGATTCTTTTCTCTTTCTTCCCTATATATTTTTCTCTTTTTTCTCTTCTTCTTCTTCTGGACACGCGAGGACAACACGAATACGATGATCGCGACATATCTACGATCGTTGCACCGGCGTTTATTCGATTGAATGGAAGTGTGTAAAGTTCGCGTGGCCGAATTTTCTCGCCACTTCGCCGCCTATATATGTACACGTACGATGTATCTCTGTTTTCTCCCGCTCCTCTCTCTCTCTCTCTCTCTCTCTCTCTCTCTCTCTCTCTTTGTATCAGTGCCTGATACTCTAGAAGTCGATCTGTCTCTATCTCTCGGCAGTCGCTCCGCATCTGCAGCCGTTCTCGTTCGACGAGGCCAACTCCGGCGATCTGATAATCGTCCATTGCGCGGTCGTGAAGGGGGACACGCCGATTTCGCTCAAGTGGTTGTTCGAGGGACGCCATTTAGAAGTAGGCGACGGAGTGGGTATCACCGCGTTGGGGGATAGAGTGTCCGCACTGACGATCCCCGCAGTCAGGGGAGAGCACGCCGGGGAGTATGCTTGCGTCGCCGATAATCCAGCCGGTCGTGCTAGGCACAGCGCCCATCTCAAAGTGAATGGTACAGAGAAACGAGTGATCACGCACGTAATCATGGTATTATTCAGCCAGAAGTCGGAACGAACGTGTGGTATATTCGAAAACGATTGGAAACCGGCATGATGTTGTGACGTTGATAAACCACAGCCGTGTGATATATCCGCGCGTAGCCCGTTGGAACGCCGTTGCTATATATACGTTCTTCTTTCTTTCTTTTTTTTTTTTTTTTTTTTTTTTTGTTTCATTACGCGTTGCGTTATGTTACTTTACTTGATTCGAGTCGAAGAAAAAAGAAAAATTACGGAGCGATGTTTTTTTCTTTTTTTTTTTCTTTCGTTAATTATTGAATTAATTATCCGCTCTTGCGTGACTCGTAGTTCGAGTAGTAGTCGTATATCTATATCTATATCTATATCTATATATATATTTATCATACATATATTGAGAGAGAATTGAAAAACCAAAGTCTCTACCGTTGTCTGCTGTTGATTGTTGTAATAGCGTACATATATTGAATATGTTTTTTTGGAAAGTCTGCATTTGCCCGACTGTCCATTCTCTTTCTTTCTTTCTTTCTTTCTTACACTTATAATTATCATTCCCGCATCGTTTGTTTCGAAGCATCATCGTTTAGGTAGGTCGCTCGGCCGAGTGTAGCTTTTGGACACCACAGTCCCACTCTCGTTATCCTTGGGCTACCATGATCAAAGGTAATTTGTCCGTAGTTCAGGACGAGCTAAAGTTCCTCCTTCATGTCCCCCAGGTCCAGTTCTCTTTCTCGTTTCGCTCCCTTCTCGACACTTTACACGTTCATACACACACTACATATCATATATATATATATATATATATATATATATTACATGTCTCTCTTTCTCTCTCCGTTTCGCTCTTACTTTCTGTTCTATCTCTGTCTGGCCTTCTTTCTCGATCCCTCTCTTCTCAAACCCGAGATTACAACGATTACTACGATACAATCCGCACAGAGGGAGAGACGAAAAGCTTTCGCTCGGCGCTCCGAGAAAGGATCTAATGTTTCCGATCGCGATCGCCCCCCCCTTCCCCCCTCCCCCTCCCTCTCGTAACGATACGCGCCGCGATGCGGAAAGGGAGAAGGACTACCGAGAGATCGGATGTGAAAGACGAGAGTCGTGAGAGTCGTCTGGTTCGCGGATCGGCAATCGACGAGCCGAGTGAAAAATCGACGATGAATATGACCACGAGGCATCGAGGATCCAATGAAGGATCGGCGAGAATTGATGATGATGATCGCAGGATGGGAGCGTGATCTAGCTTAGAGACTATCATTCCAGTCTTGCCACGGATCAGTCCGTTCGATTTTGGGGATCAGCCGATTTATGCGGGGCAGGCCGCCCAATTGGCGTGCATGGTGCTGGTGGGTGACACGCCGATCGATATTGCCTGGACCCACGAGGACCAGCCTCTGTCGCAATTCATGGGATACAACGTCGGGAAACTCGGCCCACGGACGAGTATCATGCTGATCGAGCCGGTAACACCGGAGCACGCTGGACGTTACACGTGTATCGCCAGCAATCCGTCCGGCAAGGCGACGCACGAGGCGACGTTGCGAGTTCACGGTTAGGGCCAGAGTAATGTGGGATCATTGAATGATGTAACTCCTACTACTAATGATTGAACGAAATGGATTGAGAAACTCGGATGGAATGTGAAAAANAAAAAAAAGAAAGAAAAAAAGCAAACCGCGTCGGACGGCCGTGAGAGTATTTGATTGCAGGCTTGATTGATGCATCTTCGTCGTTGCCGAAGCTGTCGTGTTTCCTTGGCGAAGCTTTCTGGATTTCAGTTTCTCAGCGGAAGAGTTTTTGACACCGAAACACGTGTTGTTGCTTTCGTCGCCGGGGACGACACTCTCTTGCGCGCCGTTTCTAAATCCTCTCTCTCTCTCTCTCTCTCTATCTATCTATCTATCTATCTATCTATCTCTCTTCTCACTTTTCATCTGTCTTTCCGAATTTTTTCTTTTACTCTCTTTCTCTCTTTGTCTCTCTACTCTGGTAATTCTGTCTGTCTACTCTATCCTCTATCTGTCGTTTAATTTGGTTTTCTGGACCCGCCTATGTTTTTTCAGCCGAGTAGCAAACGCAAAGTTACGCCCAAACGTCCTACGTGTTCTCTCACCCCGGCAAATTGGTTGAGCTTGACCCGCATCGTATTTTGTCGCTAAGTATTTTCGCCTTCGTTTGACTACCCTGTCTCTCTCGTTGTCATGCTCATCGTCGCTAATTTCATCGACGACACTTTTCGTTGGCTTTCGAATTGTTTTTCTACGTCGCGCGGCTACGGAATCCAGGCGCGCGATTTAGGATTTACACACCAAGTGATCGTTACGTTTCTCGCGTCACCATACTCCATTCACGTAACAACAATCGGTGGATCGTCGCGATCTTTCAGCGATCATCTATCTAGGTCCCCAGCGATCGAGCTGTGTGTCTATCGTGATCACATTCGAGTGTCGATTTGTTATACCTCACCGTACCCCCGTCGCGCAGCAACGTGTCCTTGTTCCAAGATGACCGACCGACCATCCAATCGCCCTTGAGAAATCACCCTCTCTCACGTCACTGCCTCATCCACCTGTGGAAAACACCACCTTTTTTTCACCAGTTCACCTCCGCCCCCGCCTCTCACCACACGTCTCGCCTCGTTCATTTTTTACATTGCATTATAGTAGTGGTAGCTAATATATACATATATATGAATATAACTTTCAACGGTGCATGAAGAAATTAGAACTAACAACACGTAGATCAGTTTTTCAAGCGGTGCAGCATGATGGACCGCGTGCTCGATATTATCATAGCGACTATTAACAACGTTTCATGCATGAGCGCCTGTGAGCTCCATCAGAGCCGCAAACGCATTCTCTCTTCTCTATCTGCCTGTCTTCTTTCTGTTCTGTGCAGTAGTCACCCGCATAATCATCCTCGATCATCCCGGCATGCCGAATTTTTCGCTGTGTGTTGTTTGTTTCGCAGTTGCGGGAGCGAGTCGCGTTTCGTTCAGCACGCGACGAAACTGACCGTCGTGATCTTTGGTTGGACTCTTGTTCTACTTCTTCGTTCGATGAAAAAAAAAAAAAAAAGAAGAAACTGAATCATATCGAGTGTCGTGTAGATGGGTGGATATTGGAATTCTGAGGGGAATGACGGAAACCCAAGATCACGATGCGACTGACTCCCGGATTAACTGCAGATATGGCGGATGCGCCGGCAGGATGTTCGAATAACCTTGTTGTTCTGTAACAGTACCTCCGCGCTGGATTCTGGAACCAACTGATAAGGCATTCGCTCAGGGCTCCGACGCGCGCGTCGAATGCAAAGCTGACGGTTTCCCAAAGCCCCAGGTCACATGGAAGAAAGCTGCTGGTAAATATACACTCGCCTCGGTGAGAGATTTCGCGACATGTAAATGCACAATGCACGGGTGCAAGTAATGTGGAAAGAGTGTACAAAATATGATAATTTCTTATAATATTACTTCTATAATGTATTGTAATATTAATGCTATTTAATAGTTACTTACAGTTTTATATTATATTATAATATTATAATATTTAATAGTTACTTATAGTTTTATATTATAATATATTGTAATATTATAATATTATGTTATAGTATTATAATATAAAACTATAAGTAACTATTAAATATTATAATATTATAATATATTAATAAAACTAACTAAATAATTATATAACTTAACAAACTAAAATAAAAACTATTAAATATTATAATATATTATAATATTATAATATAAAACTATAAGTAACTATTAAATATTATAATATTAATACTATTTAATAGTTACTTATAGTTTTATATTATAATATATTCTAATATTATAATATAAAATTATAAGTAACTATTAAATATTATAATATAAAACTATAAGTAACTATTAAATATTATAATATTAATATTATTTAACAGTTACTTATAGTTTTATATTATAATATTAGAATATATTATAATATTGTTACTATTTAATATTTACTTAGAATAGTACTATTATAAGTACTTAACATTTAGTACCTTAGTAGTAATATATGCAATTTCTGAAAGTACAACGAAAAAAAAAAAAAAAATAGAATTTGGATAGAAAATTGTTTTACATATCAAGTATCATAGAAAATGAACCATGGACCATGAGTTTTCATAAATTTCTACGATCATTACGTGTAACTTCGCACTTTAAGCACAAAACGACGTAGTATATAGTTTAACCTTTTTAACGTAGAATAACGATACATACATATATCATTGCTGGCTATACTTGAGAAAAATACTGTGCATAAATCATTACGCTTTAATTAAATAGCATTTGAAATCTTCATTTGTCACATGCTCCGTATTATCGAATTATTATTTATCTTTTAAAATGGAGTGGCTTTTTATTTTGTAACATGTTCCTTCTCTAATTTAATTATCATTCATTATAAAAACTAAATCTTTACCATCTTCTGAAATTTTCCTAACTTTTTCGTTAGGATTAAAGACTAATTATTGTCATTAAAATGCACACGATGTATGTCGTATTTAAAAATAAAAAGATATTAAAAGTAGAGTATTTGTTGCAGTATACATATATTAGAGAAAACAAATTCCAATTACAAACATAAATTAATAAAAATGTTAAAATGCATTCTAACCGATAGTCTTCCTCTCGTCTTTTCCATTTTATAGGAGATACACCGGGCGATTATACCGATTTGAAACTGAGCAATCCAGACATCAGCGTCGAGGATGGAACCCTGTCAATCAATAACATTCAGAAGACGAACGAAGGCTATTATCTGTGCGAGGCTGTAAATGGAATTGGCGCAGGGCTCTCGGCTGTTATTTTCATCTCGGTTCAGGGTAACATATACGTCATTATTTCTGTCCCACCCTTTTCTTCTATTCGATATAATTTGCACATTATTCCTGCCGCAGCTCCGCCTCATTTCGAGATCAAACTGAAGAATCAAACGGCAAGACGCGGAGAACCGGCTGTGTTGCAATGCGAGGCTCAAGGCGAGAAACCAATTGGCATCTTATGGAACATGAACAACAAGAGATTGGACCCGAAGAGCGATTCTCGTTACACCATCCGCGAAGAAATTTTGGCTAACGGCGTACTGTCTGATCTGAGCATCAAGAGAACCGAGAGAAGCGACTCTGCCCTGTTCACTTGTGTTGCTACCAATGCCTTTGGAAGCGATGACACCAGTATTAACATGATTGTACAAGGTTCGAACGGGATTCCAACGTTTATCTAGCTTCTCGCATATTTGTCGTGGACAGTGTGATAAATCCATCATCAGAAACAACGTTCAGGAATTATGAGTAATAATAAAAATGGCCTGGTAGCTTGACAAGCATCATTGATTTATATTACATTCGACTCGTTAATGTGAATATTATCATCCGTTCTGATAAAGTGAGGAAAGATATAGTATTATAGATATTTGCTGTTATTACATTTCGTTTGATCCAAATCACCTATTAAGAGTTTTTAAACTTAATATTACACAGTCTCACTTGATATTAATCACAATATAATGTCTCACTTGATATTATCATTATGATTTATATTATTTATATTGAATATATGTTCTTGTATCGATCAATGCAGCTTGATATTTTCTATATGATGTTAAAAGATTAGCCAATGTATGTGGAAAAGTTATTAGTTTAAGAGATATTTTAGTATCAACTCTGTATAACATATGAAAGCTAATTTTGTCACATTGTCCATAAAATGCCAGTAAATGTTATAAAGATAAAAGTGCTAGTTTCAAGGCAATTTATAGTTTACGTTATTAAAAAAATGTGACATACGTGTCTGTGAACTCTTTCAGAATTTTTCACTGTAAAATGGATTATTAAAAAATTTGAATTTTCTCGCAGAGGTTCCTGAAGTTCCATACGGTCTGAAGGTATTAGACAAGTCCGGACGATCGGTTCAATTATCCTGGGCAGCACCGTACGACGGAAACAGCCCTATCAAACGCTATGTCATCGAATACAAGATCAGCAAAGGTTCATGGGAAACAGACATCGACAGAGTGTTGGTACCTGGATCGCAACAGAACGTAGCTGGCGTTTTTAACCTGAGACCTGCCACCACATATCATCTGAGAATCGTTGCTGAGAACGAAATTGGCGCGTCTGATCCATCTGATACTGTCACAATTATCACTGCTGAAGAAGCTCCCAGTGGCCCACCAACCTCTGTTCGCGTTGACGCTCTTGACCAGCACACTCTTAAGGTAAACTTAAATCTTTTACAAAAAATACATCTATGTATAAGAATTTTAAATATTTTAAAGTTTCATGAATGAAGTGTTTTTATATCGTTGATTAGAAATCTGTAACCGAAATGTAAAAATGTTTGGCTGTACAGCGATTTGCGAAAGTATTTATAAGTACAATCTTACAAATAATTTATGAGTTTTATAACTATACGTTCTATACGTTTGACTATTCGTTATTCGAAGTACATTTTTACTTGAAATGGAGCAAGACCAATTCGATTCCATTCGCTTAGGTAACATGGAAACCACCCCCACGAGAAGACTGGAACGGCGAGATTCTTGGATACTATGTTGGCTACAAACTCTCCTCCTCCTCTGATTACATTTATGAAACTGTGGACTTCTCGAAGGAAGATGGAAAGGAACACCATTTGCAGATCATGAACCTGAAGACCTACACTCAATACAGCGTTGTCGTTCAAGCATTTAACAAAGTTGGATCGGGACCAATAAGCGAGGAACGAAGACAACATACTGCTGAAGGAGTGCCTGAACAACCACCTCATGACACTACTTGCACCACTTTGACTTCTCAAACTATCAGAGTTTCCTGGATGTCGCCACCTCTTAGCGCTGCCAACGGAGTCATTACTGGCTACAAGGTTAATAAATAATTTATTAGACTGCGGATATTCATGCATTTTTGCGAAATTGAATTTGCGAAGAAATCTATAAAATATCCAAAATAGAGTATTTTTTGTTCCAAGCTCCAATATATATCTTTAAGAAATTTAACAATAAAGAAATTCCACGGAATGAAGAATACATCGAATATTCAATGGAAGATATTTTTTATATTAAATGAATTTCTGTTAAGAGTCCAATACATTTTTCTGAAAACTTAAGAATGAAACAATCGACAGAACGTGTATAATAATCAAGAACATGTAGATATTTAGCAGATGAAATTGAATACCATTTCTTTAATTATAACATAAAAATGCATAAATATCTGTAGGCTAATAATTACAGTCTGAATAAATTCGTAAACTGTAGAAACATTGACAATTTCCTCTCACAGGTTATTTACGGACCATCTGATACCTGGTACGATGAGAACACCAAGGATACCAAGATCACTTCCTCCAGTGAGACTATTTTACACGGATTAAAGAAATATACCAACTACACTATGCAAGTTCTGGCTTTCACTTCTGGCGGCGATGGAGTTAAATCTGCACCTATTCACTGTCAAACGGAACAGGATGGTAAGTAATGTTTGGTAAAATTACAGAGTATAGAAATTTGATGATTTTTTAATATCAAATGTCTCCAATTGTCGCCTACGAAATTCTAAGAAGAAGGATAGAGAGGGGGATGATTTTTTAATATCAAATGTCCCCAATTATTGCCCATGGAGTTTAAGAAGGAAGATAGGATATTGTTTCAATAATAATGAAGCTATAATTGACTTGGAATTGACTATAACTATAATAGAGGTGTATCGAGAAATATTGATAGAAAATTTCGAGATTCTCGAAAGAGCCGGGTTTGACAAAAAAATCGGGATTCCCGAAAGAGTTGAGATTTTGGAACAAGCTTAAATAATTCGTTAAAGCCCACGCCTTCAACTGTATATCTAGAACCATCATTCGAGCAATTCCTCCTGTTATATCTTTTGGTTTAACAATCTTTTGCGTATCATTTTGTATATGCGACAAATTTTATATCGATTCAGTTTCTTTTCTAGTACATATATTAATGTTTGAATGCATATGCTTCAAATTGCGTAATAAACCAGTAGCATTTGCATACTTAGTTTTAAATTCATGGTGACAATGCGTGCATTCCGCCTTTGTACCATCTTTTTGTTGAAAATGTTCCCCAAACAGAGCTTCTTTTTACCTTTTTTCTTTATACGATATCTTCTACACTACTTCCTGCTACCACAACTTTACTCTCACTAGCACTCGACATTTTTTTGAAAGATTTTTAATCTTTATTAAATTCACACAGATTTTGAAATATACGTCTGAACTTCCCGAATGTCTCAGCGATACTGTTCAAGTACTAAGCATGTTTGTATACATTAGGTCACACGGTTCTTAGAATCCGTGTTTCCAATAACATCACTGGCAGAAGAAATTGAACGGTGTATTTACATATTTTGTAGGCTACTATACAGTATTGTACAGAGTAGTTCGAGAAATGGTAGCCGAGTTCTCGAAATTTTCGGGTTCTCGTACACCCCTAACTATAACACTATATGATTTCACTAAAATGGAAAGTAGCGCCAGTGAAATGTTTCTTGGATATTTTATGATGCAATGTTATTCCTTAACGCCCTCATTCGTTCAGCGGATTTTTATGTAATTTTATATTTTTATAAATAAACATAAATATTTTTGCACATTGTGGAAATTTTCTGCATTTTTGTGAACGTATATTTCTATTCAAGAAATGAAATAATATCCCTTTCATATCACTTTTGTATTGATATAAAGAATTTGTTAAAAAATTGTGAACTTGAAATCGCCGCATTTCTGTGCTAGACTATCCTGCACACATTTAGGAAGAATCGTAAGTGATATTTGAAATATGTTATATTCCCTTTCTTACAGCCCCTGAAGCACCTATTGCGATCAAGGCACTTGTTATGTCGGCTGAATCGATTCTCGTTTCGTGGCGTCCACCAAGCCAACCAAATGGAGTGATTACCCAATATATTGTTTACACCAAGGCAGACAACGCGGAAGAACCAACTAGCCAGAAAGTACCACCAAATCAATTAACTCACGAGGCATCTGGATTGGACAAACAGCGCAGATATGACTTCTGGGTAACTGCTAGCACCAACATTGGAGAAGGAGAGGCTTCAAAAATCGTGGCATTGGCGCCAAGCGTACGAGGTACACTTTCTATTGTCTATATTGTATATAATAATATATAATATGTAATGTATATAGTAGTTGATATTTCACACAATATTATATTATATATTGTATATAATGATTAATGTAATTTTTTAGTACCGGCAAAGATCGCATCGTTCGACGACAAATTCACTGCTACCTATAAGGAGGATGTAAAATTACCCTGCCTGGCTGTTGGTGTACCTGCACCGGAAGTTACATGGAAAGTACGTGGCGCCGTTCTCCAATCTAGCGACAGACTGCGACAATTGCCCGAGGGATCGTTGTTCATCAAGGAAGTGGATCGTACCGATGCTGGAGAATACTCTTGCTACGTCGAGAACTCGTTTGGACATGATACCGTTACGCATCAATTGATTGTTCATGGTGAGTGATATTAGAACTTTGAATGGGACTTTCGACTTAAGACTGAATGATCGAGATAAAACGATGTTTCGTAGCTCCCCCACACTCACCACAGGTTACTCTTACTGCTACGACTACTAATTCATTGACCATGAAACTGAGACCTCATCCTACCGATAATGCTCCGATCCATGGATACACCATTCACTACAAGCCTGAGTTTGGCGATTGGGAAACTGCTCAAATCAGCTCCACGGCTCAGAAATACACACTGGAGAATCTGTGGTGTGGCTCGAGATATCAGATCTACGTTACAGCATACAACGGGTAACGATCTAGACCTGCGCGAACGAAACTGTTGCGGGACAAAGCTCATGTACTGTGGTTCTCTTAGAATTGGAACTGGCGATCCCTCCGACATGCTCAACACTCGCACCAAAGGCTCGAAACCGATCATCCCTGAAGCTGCTAGATTCATCGAAGTTTCCACCAACAGTATCACCCTGCATTTGAGCGCCTGGTCTGACGGTGGCTGCCCAATGCTCTACTTCGTCGTCGAACATAAGAAGAAGTAAGGAACAATAAAAAGAAAAAAAATAAAAAAAATTGTACAGAAGAGATTCTTTGAATCTGATGGAAATTAAAAACACGACCGTTCGATGCGATTCAGGCACCAACAGGAATGGAATCAGGTCTCGAACAACGTGAAACCCGGCGGAAACTTTGTCGTTTTGGACCTGGATCCTGCTAGTTGGTATCACTTGCGTGTCACCGCTCACAACAACGCTGGTTTCGCTGTGGCCGAGTACGAATTCGCGACACTGACCGTAACCGGAGGTAAGCACACGAAGGAAATGAAGATGGCAACGGCACGCTCGTAGCCGGTGCTAATGGTGGCTGGATTGAATGGTCGCCATATTTTTTGTTCCAGGCACCATTGCACCGGCCCGAGAGTTACCTGACGTGAACGGTGGTGGCAACGACGAAGATCCGATGAAAATTTTCATGGCTAACTTAAATCTGGTCGTACCCGTGGTAGCAGCCATTCTCGTTATAATCGTTGCCGTCATCGTGATCTGCGTTCTCAGAGGAAAGGGCCATGGTAGCGATAAAGGTAACGTTTCTCTTCTTTTCGGCTGTTTTAACGAACAGGTACGATCGCGCCGCCCGTACGCAACAGCGGTAACGACAACACGGACGTCAGGCGTTATTTCCCGTGGTTACCAAGTTGGCTCGACGTGAACGTGGTTGTACCGGTCGGAGCTACGGTTGTTGTGATTATTGTAGGCATTGTTGTGATTTGCGTCGCTCTGTCTAGAAGAACTCGAGGCCCGGAGCAAACACGGCTGCGAGGTATCTCATCAGCCGACGAGAAATATTACGAAGGACAATGTATACCATTTTTTTTTATTATTTTAACTTGCTATGAGAAAAAAAAAAAAAAGAAAACGATGGAAGTTTATCAGAAGAATAATCTGGATGACAGACATTGGAAATGATATTGACGAAGAAACTGTGTCGAGAGATATCCGATCCGAAGTTATTTTTCTGATGATCGATCCAAATCGAATATCGAATGCTGGACGTCACCGAGCTAGTGAGTGGCATTCGTATCGTTCGTCGTTCTTTCAGACGACGTGGTATATCAACAAACTGGTGTCGGCGGAGCTACGCTTGACAAACGCAGGCCGGATCTTCGCGACGAGCTTGGATACATCGCCCCGCCGAATCGCAAACTACCACCTGTCCCTGGCTCCAACTATAACACCTGCGATCGCATCAAGCGAGGTACAGTGATAAGTAAGCCACAACTGCCTACAATATGATTTCTAGCTAAATTCCAATTACTGTCTAGATGTTGTCGCATCGGCACGATAGTGTTACCGTTATTTTTCTTTTACGTGACACACAATCGAATCGCACAGGTTTAACACGATTATTAGACCTCACTTCATTGTTCAGACAAGTCGGCGTACCGAGATACGCCGTTGAGATACCACACACGTACACTCCCAGACACACGTTATCATACACGCGTCCATCATAGTCATTTGCCAGTTGTTTCATTGTTTGCCTCGCTTCAAAATGTTTTCTCTCTCTATATACGTAAAGATGTATGTCCCACGGGAACGGTTATTTCTCCTCCCTTATTTTTGCGCTTATCACAATTTTGCTGCGCGTTACCAAGCGCCGATTACGTCTTGAAACGATCTCGCCCTGTGTTCATCACCCCTGATGACCCCGTGAACCGTCAATGAAATCAATCACCCCGATCACCTCGTTTGGCAAACGAGCCAAAATCGAACCGAATTGGTAAGCGCCAGTCAGTCGTACGACCTTTGTAGTATATGTTCGATAGGTGGAACAGGCTCGATAAGAAGCCACTCGACGTGGGATCCCAGACGACATATGTACGAGGAATTGAATCATTGCGCGCCCAACCGAAGATGCCCACCACCACCCCGTATGGGCAGTGCTGAAGCTCTCTCGCACAGAGGTTGGTAAAAGTAGTTAAAGACCCGAACGAAGCGCTCTTTCTCCTTCGTGCGTCGCCGTGACGAGACCTCGTCTATCGCGTGACTACGATTACTAACCTACGGCCGGTGCAGCTATTGGCTGGTTGCAGCCGGTCTTCGTAAGTCCTTCGTATTCCACACCGTATTCTTACACCGTGCTGATGCTACTCTATTAATGTTTGCACGTCCTCGCATGTTTGCGCTCTGGTATCCTTTTATTTTGCAAACAAACGAACACGAAGCACCGATAGCAAACATCTCTTTCGATTTTTCCCCATTTTTCTCAAACAGAGCAGGATCAGTTTCTCGTTTCGACTTTTTTCTTCTTTTTTTGTTTCGGCCTTCAGATTTTATCGATCACTTTTCTCGCATCGATGTTGCATTTCTTCTATAAAAATGAGTTTCAATCGTCCGTCAATTAAATTCGAAGTTGAGATATTCGAGAAGACTCGAACGAGTGTGGTTGGACCTGTTCCTGTACAACTAACAATGCATGATGACATTTTCCAATAAAAATTTCTTGATAATGAGCAAGTACGAGAGAAGAGGAAAAACATAGGAATGTAATACGTAGGTACCCGGATGATTTTAGCGATAGCGACATCTGCACGAAACCAACACCCTGCGAGAGATTATCCGATTTGATCGAGACAATCTCGTACAATGAATAGATTAGTTTAAGTAGGTCTATAACTGCAGTGTCTACCCTGAGTGATCGTTTCTTTCAGGCATGGAGGATGAGATCTGCCCGTACGCTACTTTCCACCTTCTTGGTTTCCGCGAAGAAATGGACCCGAGCAAGGCTATGCAATTCCAGACTTTCCCACACCCTGGCAATGGACACTCTGGCACTATGGGACCACCTGTTGGACATCCTACTAACGCTTCAGCTCACAGCCGCTCTGGATCTCAATCTATGGTATCAGGATTACTTAGGAAATTCTTTTATCTTTTAGAAAGATTCCTCGTGGACTTTTATTTAATTTGTTTGAAAAGGAATAAATTAAAAGGAATAAATTCGGTTTTCATATGAGCAAGGCGCAATAGTGTATTGCTATTATGAGTAGTGAGACAACGAAAAAAGATAACTCAAAAACAATATGCTGTTTAAATTAAAGAAGATAAGAAAGGGCAAGTTCGAGTCCACTAAAGATCTGTAGATCTATCAATAGTTTTTAAGAAGCGAGGCGCAACCGTGTATTGCTATTATGAGTAGTGAGACAACGAAAAAAAGATAACTCAAAAACAATATGCTGTTTAAATTAAAGAAGATAAGAAAGAAGATGTTATATAAAGAGCAAGTTCGAGTCCACTAAAGATCTGTAGATCTATCAATAGTCTTTAAGAATATTGATAGATATAGAGAAGAGAATGATTTATTGCTCATGTTGTTGCCTACACATGGGAAATTTAAAGATGCAGAGATGCATGTAATTTATGAAAATATCCTAGATATGGTGCTCGTTACGGTGCTTTTTAATAAGTGAAAGACAAACGTTTTTACCTAGTTTCCATGTTCTCCAACTATAAATATTTATGAAAGTACGAATTTGCAATCTAATGATAATCTCTTAATTCGTTTCTTTTCCCAGCCCCGTCAAAACGGTCGCTACTCTCGCGTCCCATCACAAGGGGGCGGCAGCGGAACCCACAATGTCTTCTCTCCTGAATACGATGACCCGGCAAACTGTGCTCCGGAGGAAGATCAGTATGGCTCTCAATACGGACAATACGGCGCTCCCTACGATCATTATGGATCTCGCGGCTCAGTCGGACGTCGCAGCGTAGGATCAGCTCGTAACATCCCCGTTTCTGGATCACCCGAACCACCACCACCGCCACCAAGGAACCACGACCAGAACAACTCGAGCTTCAACGACAGCAAAGAGAGCAACGAGATCAGCGAGGCAGAGTGTGACCGCGATCAACTTGTGAACCGCAACTACGGCGGTCAGTACAAAGAACCGTGATCGATTAGGGAACCAGACGATCGAATTGCGAAGCGGAGTTGGTCGAAGTAACGACTCGGTTGTCGGGGAGAACGATCTTTCCAACAAGTTGCCCTCGAGCCGAGTCGATGCGACTGCCGTTTCGTCTGTTTCGCTCTGGGTTTCCTATCGCTGCTCGCCCTTCACACAGTAGAAAAATATAATAGGCATGCCGAGCGAGTCACGGCGTACAAGAATGAACCGGGACTCGCTGCGGGGTCTGTGTATCTAATCGTTTAGCTTCCACGATTTGCATGCTACGTGTCGTCGTAGTAGTTTACCGTTGTGTCAATCGTGCCGTGTGTTTTTCTATTTCAGTGAATGCTCGCGGCAAGGACGGCATGACCACCGAGGAGATGCGTAAACTCATAGAGAGGTCAGTAGAGATCGAGTGAGTTTGGTTAACGGTGTGCGATTAAGAAAAAAAAAAAAAAAAAAAAACGTCACCGTTTCATGCCGCTGTGTCTCGAGCGATTTCTTACCTCGAGAACTGTCATTGACTTTCTCGAAAGTAAATTGGCCAATCACTTCGTTAGTCGCTTCGACATTTTCCTTGTTCGAACGAACGTCGTGCGCGTTTCTCGACTCTCCGTACAGTACTTTTGCTAGATCTGCTTTTCCCTCTCGTAAATTGTTTTGTTTTTGATTTTTTTTTCTTCTCCTTCTTCTAAATCTCATTGGTATCTCTTCGGATCCGATTTGAACGAATATAATTGATTCTCTGGATCTCTTGTTTCAAAATGATAATGGCGATTCGAGTGCACGGTGGTTTCTCGCTAAGAACTCTAAACAATCCTTTTGGCAATCTATTTAACGTATCTCTGACTTTTTCTTGTTTCATGACTCTTTACGCAGGAAGCCGTAAGTTCGTTAGACAATAATAATAATAATCATAATCATAATCATAATAATAATAATTAAAACGCAGGATGCATTCATGTAACGACAATCGCGTCAATTAGAGATGATTTTTCGAAGGCTTTAAAAGTTGCGTTAACTTTGTTCTTAGCTAGTTTTTTTGTGGCCACGAGAATATAGGTCAGTCAATGCTTCGACAGCGTCGCTTCCATACCAACGACAATCAGATCTCTACCTGGGTCGAATAACGCTTACTAAATCATAAACATGTGTTTTTTTGCATGCGATTTTCATGACAATCTGCCAAATGTAATTTACTCGTAGTTGACATTAACTTTTTGTTTCCTTTTTTTCGCTAGATCATGTCGATCGATGTAAGATTGCGATCGACGCCATATTTATTTTCGCTACAGCTGTCGCTCCTGTCATTCGCCTACAGATCCTGCTGTCATTGCTGCTGGTGCTACTAACGTTAACACAACCGTCGGAAAATATCTTAATCAAAATATATTAATGAACTGACTCGTGTTATTGGTGTACTCGCGATTGCAGCTAATGCATGTACCGCTGAATCACACACGTGCAGATAGTTTTCATTTCTATCCTTTAGATGCATAGAGATTATCGGGGAAACAGTGCGATATACACATAGTATCTGTGTGCGGATAATGTTAGATTATCGCTGACACAAGAGGGGATTTCACGAGCACGAGGAGAGAAATTGAAAGGATGAACTACCTGTTACAGAAACGAAGCCCCCAGCCGGCAAGCCGGTGCCGGCCACGGCGGTCACGGGGGACTCCTCACACCCTACGATACTGTGGCAGTGTAACCTGTAAATCATCTTCCGTGGTCTTCCGTCTCTCTCGTCACCAGCGCCCGAAGACACGAGAGAAGCGGAAAGAGTGCGCACGCTGACTCTTCCCCCGGTGCTGTCGTCGGTCCAAATTGCAACGATACATCAGGAAAATCACCATCGTCGCGAGTAGATAGATTCGGTCCACCGCATTAGGCGGCACGCTCGTTTAGACGTTTCGCTTCAACCAATCCAGTCGGATTTACCGCGGCGGCGACGATATTTGCCTCCTGAAGGGACCGTCTTCTTCGTCTTCGACCATATCATTTTATTCCATTTTTGGCCTTTCTCTATTTCGATCTCGCGTTTTTTCGCATAAGCGTCACTCGTTCTTGCTCAATTGTCGACAAGGCCATACTTACGAAACTGCCAAATTGATTGACTGCCGATCAAGGCGAAGGGATCATTTTCATTCGAGGGGCAAACCGCGTCGTTTCGCGTTTACATTATATGCACGAACCAATCCATGGATACCATCGACACGTCGTAAACGAGTGTCTTATTAGAAAACGAACACACCCGGCATGTTCGTGTGAACGTTGGAGAAACGCGACTAGAATCCGGCCCGCGACGCGTGCTCTCGGCGACGGTGCGTTTCACGGGGGTTTTCGGCGGTATGTCCTAGGTTACAATTGTCGCTTCCAAGCGCCACGAGTCACGGGAAGTAAACACGAGATACATTAGTTACTCGCTTTTTAAGTCATGGTTGTGCCACACTGCCGCTCCCCGCAGGCATATGATATTACACGTACATATATATATGATGTATACATATATGTATATGTATACATATATATATGATGATATTATACATACATATATACAATTTATAATTTCGTAACGAAGGTTGTGTCCCTGTTTTTTGGCGATCGACGATCTTGAGTCTCGACGTCGCGGAGAGCAAGTGTAGAGAGCACTGTTTTGCGACAGTGTCGCAGAGAGTGCGTCGTCGTTGTCGTCGTAGCAAGTTAGTCAGACAACAAACAACAGGTCGCATCGATGCCGTGGTGGCGTCTGGTCCCGATATTTCTTCCGCCGCGGAAATTTCACGAAAATTTCTTTCATCGCCGATCGACTTATCCGTAGGAAGAACGCGGCACGCTGAATCGCTTCATCACGATTCGAAACGCGAAATTGTCAGCCGACCACACACATACACACATACATACATACACACACACACACACACACACACACATATACACACACCATACATGCCATACGTCGAAAAGAGAGAGGATAACGCGCAAGCACACACCACGCTCGCTGTCGATTTTTAATCGTCCTATATAATATTTAGTCCGCTATACACACACATATATTCGCAAGCTAATCTCGATCAATTATGAACGTACGTGAATTTACTGATAAAAGCGACGATGATATTATACGTGTAAGCAATTCGAGCTACAAATACCGATTTAAACATAAGTAGGGCATAAGTCGGACGGATGGTCGCGAGGTGCGCCGTTTCACTTTCGTTGAATGGTGACGCGTCGAGCATAGATAAACAAACAGAAAAATCTTAAACAAACAGGAATCACGATTAGATAGAGAGTGCGATTAGATATGGCGAAATGAGGATAAGAAAAGAAGAAAAGAAAATGGAAAACGGAACAGCGGGGTTCATTCGAAATATTATTCGATTCTGTAGGTCGATGTGGCGCCAGGATACGGTTACGGCGTGTGTCTCATAGTTCGTTTTTATCACAACACTATTTAGATATATAAAAATATATAAATATATAAATATAAATATATATATATATATATATATATACATTGACGTTCATATGCATAGATTGTAAGTAGGTATGTCTAGGTGTCGCATTTATTTGCCGAGGCGATGCACGAGTGGTACACCAGTTGAACTTTGAGGGATCACGATCGAAGGATGTCTCGTCGTTGACGACGAGTTATTGCCGGGATACTTTGGCCGTGAACCGTATAACATTGCTTTTTTTTCTCTCTCTCTCTCTCTCACACGAACTTCCGTTTGCATCACTGGCTGCGACTCCGCTCGCCGACGCATTTTTACTCATCGATGTGATTTTAAAGGCTGCGCAAAAAGTCTCGTGTCTCGTGTATGTGTTACGATCGCGCTCTACCACATTAATGTAGCCATATCCAAGTCACCTTTTACGATGTATATCACGTTTTACTCACGTAACGCTCGCGAAACTTTTCGCTTTGATGCTTTGAAACTTAACGCGATGAAAGAGAGGTCGAAAGATATTTAACTTATTCGATATTAGCCGTACGATTAATCCCACGTGTGTGGCAAACGCACACGTGATCGTCGATATTAATAAAAATAATTAAGAAAAGAAAAGAAAAACAAAAGGGGGAAAAAAGAAACGTGATGTCCGCGGATTGTCACATAGCTTTCTTCTATTAATCGATTGGGAAATACTTCGTTCGTTTAATCGTTATAGTTTGTGTGATCGATCTGGTATCGTTTCTCTTTGCAAGGTTTAATGTTACTTTTGATGATGCTGTGAAACGGTCGGTGCCGCCGTCCGCGTTATACATATACATATATTGTGCTTTGTTCATTGATAACATTGGATGTTCGTTTTCGTGCAACAACGAGGCGGTTCTTCGAGCTTCTCCTTCGGCGGGGCGCGTATCGTTTTCTTTTTCGGTTGCAAGCAGACTCGGGACATTTCATAATTAGTACCCTGTGTTGCGCTCAGTGCTCGCCTTCAAATTGGCTGTAAGTTCGCATTCTTGTACAACGATACTCGTATATCTCCGCGTTCGTAGGGACTCGAGGATCCGCTCGCAGTACACCGTTTCCTCAGTACCACTATTTTATGTTTTTGTACCAAAGTCGTAGCGTCTAACTTTACGTTAAATAAATAAAACCAAAAAAAAAGCAATTACCTGTTTGACTTTAAATTCCCAAACATCTATCGAAAATTCGGTTAATATATTTGTTTACAAAGAATTAGATTCTCCACATTTGAAAATGTAATTTTTAAATCATCGCTATATCATATAGTTAAAACATTTATTCATTAGTAAATATTTACGATATTACAAAAGCAATGCGCTATTGATTTCCAATTTCAAGTGTTTTATAATGTTATCAAATTTTGAATATCTATGACATGGTGACATTTGAATGGTGTTTGTGCAGTGATAACTCGTAATAGTTGGTAACATCATTTGTTCGCACGATGGCGTCCGGTGGTGGTACGTACCGTTTATTTTGCTTTTTATCATTTAATAGGTAGTGTTAGGCGATACCTTTCGAACGGGAATTTGTGGTAATAATAATGTCGAACAACGTGTTGTCTTTCTAATAGCAGAAAACACGACAGAGGAAAGGACCGAGCCAGCGACGCCGGCACAACCTCTCACCAATGTTGGGAGCGAAACAGCACACGTAAGTTAGATAACCTATAAACGTAGGTATAACCTGTTGTGCTATTACATTCTTACTGTTGATTCTTACGAGATTGACATTTTCTAACACGATTATTAATTGAATATTTTCCTAGTACGACGCTGATTTTATATAACAAAATTTACAATGGATTATTTGAACGACGTAATTTTAATATTTCCCGCCATGCTATTGACAGCTGTTGTATCAAAATTTGAGTTTGGCTTTATACCAATGTCATTAGGTTAGGTTATTTGAATAGTTTTACAGTAGATTTATCAAGATCTTGTGTTCTTTATAGCTGTCTTTGTGCGTAAGAGGTGTAAAGAAAATAACAGGAGATACTTTTAATTATGTTTGTGAAAATAAAATCAACACTGACCTTAATCTGTTTTATTATTTTTTATTGTTGCAGAGGATACTAGCAATGAATAAGGATTCTGATCTATCTGGTGTGCCACCGAAGAAGTCACGTGTTGAAGTACAATCTCTTCCAACTAGACAATACTTGGATCAGACTGTGGTTCCAATTTTGTTACAAGCTCTGTCTAATTTAGCCAAGGAAAGACCTGCCGATCCCATTAGCTTTTTAGCAGGATACCTGCTGAGGAATAAAAGCCAGTATGATAATGGTGAATCCCCACCTACTAGTCAATGAATTGCCTGTGCATTTATAATATGTGGTGAAAATTGAAGAATCGTTTATAAATATTGAAATTTCTTAGGAATATATTCAAGTTGGGCAGAGTGTATTTGTGTAATATCAAATTAAATAAAGATGTATTAGCTTTTTATCATATAACTTTTGATGGACAAATAACAGAAAAGAATATACAACAAGTTTATACAACAGTTTTCTTAAATGTGCTTACTTTTGACTATTCATTTATAAGTATGTGGTGAAAATTGAAGAAACGTTTACAAACAATGAAATATATATTCTTAGGAATATATCAAAGTTGGGCAGGGTGTATTTGTGTAATGTCAGATTAAATAAAATCATGTGACAGAGTTTTTGGTGGACAAATGACAGAAAAGAATATATAACAGGTCTCCTTTTGACTCTTTTTTGGCAATATGGCAAGATAATTTCTTTCAATATATCTTGCATATGTTATAACGTATATGTCTACATCTACAGAGGTTAACCTCACTATCATTATTTTATACATGTAGTTCGAATAAGATAATTGTAAAGTAATAATTCATACCTGAAAAGATTTTAATCAGACGGTGTGGCATTAAATAAAATCACTTTAAAAAACTTTATCGAATAGACGTACTTTACATCGACTATGGAAAAACGAGAAGTATCGTTTTCACTGGTTCAATAAACGATTCCGTGTTTCGCGTCAATATAATTGGATGCAATTAAACGTAATTGTCTACTAAATTGGCATGAAATTTATTTTACAGTTCGACGAGATCACTAACACATTTGTATAGCAACAGGCAACGTTCGACCGTTTGCGGAAGTGATGCTGAGTTTTTCGAATTTAAAACCTGCGCGCGCCGTTCCGCCAATTACGTGTACGTGTCGTCTAGTTGCTGATTTGTCGAGCGTAGTGTGTCGCGTTAACGGTTTAACTGCGCCGGCGGTTCGTAACGACTCTGAAGAAAATTCGCGTATTTCGTGTAGATAACGCTGCGGCATTGGTACAAAATACCACGACAACGAGAAAATATCGAGGTAATTTCGTGGAGAACAATTCGTACGGCACCATCATCGTACCAAGTCCAATTAACGAGGTGAGTTCCCATTCAACTCCCTCGTACATTACTTCGCTTTCTTGATACGGACGCTACCGTGCATTTACCGCCAACTTCGTATTACTTTTGTTTTTCACCCGTTGCATCCTGTTTCTCGGATAACGCCTTTACATCGAGTAATATCCTGCCGACGTGTTTTTCGTCCGATTAAAGCAAATCGGATAGAAGCTTCGCATTACACGCATATACATATATATCATACACACAGGGTAGCTATCGTAGGAACTTTTGAGAGTGAACCGTGCGTCAACCGAGTGTCGTATATATATAAGCATATATAATATTTCTGTGTATTAAAATTTATAATAGGCGATGTTAGGACAATGTGTACACGGCGTTACACATTGGAAATCGAAGGAAGACGCGGTTTAATAGCGAGTTTACATTTCCCCTCGTGATTTTCGTGAGTCTTTGCATCTAAACGGAGCAGCGTGTCTCCCGCGCGATCGTATTGCAATTAGCGCACTCTAGGAGCGTACGCACAAAGAACTGTGTGTCGAGTAAACCGAGGATATAGTTAATGGGTGAATCGTGTCATGGCTTTCGTCGTGCGCACACAATCTGCAGATTCACGCCCATACGGCCATACGGTGCCTCGGTTCAATTGGCACGCATATTGGAATTCTATTAGCGAGATTACCGACAGTAATTGCTCGGTTTGGTGCAATATCGCATGCTCGTCTGTACTCAGCCAACAGGCTAGCGAGCGTCAAACGCGGATTAAGCGCGCATCTTGCTTCACGACTGAGACAAGACGGGTGTATTATGTCCCCGATTAATGCCGATACAAGCCATCCTCGAATCCTCCGAGCATCGACTCGACCGGGAATGTACCACGAATTGCGAGTACGAATATAGCACGATTACATTAGCGAGATCGAGCTGCGCAAAAGGATCGGGGGACGTCCGCTTGAAATTACTCGTGCCACCTAGGCGCGGGCGTTGGTCGCGCGCATTCCTCTACGAGAATTTAATCGAAAGTTTCTACTGGCTGGGAAATGAAAGTTGAGCATAGACGGGGCGCGAGGAGGTGGCGAGGGTAGAAAAAGGAAGCGTACGTCTCGCAACGTGTTTCGTTGAGAAAGGAACGAAACTCGTAAGTTTGCGGATGTTGAAGGCCGGAAAACGATTTACCGGAACTCGTAAGCGCGCGAGAGTTTGCAAGTTACGCCGAGATTTTTCGAAATTTCTGTCTTCGAACCGACTCCGGATTATATAAAATTTTTCTCCATAACTGGAAACTCTACCACCAACTTCCTGTCCTGCTCTCTCTCTCTCTCTCTCTCTCTCTCTCTCTCTCTCTCTCTCTCTCTCTCTCTCTCTCTCTCTCTGTGCCGGAGTTACGGAAAAAACGCTTACCGAGCAGATTCGCGCGGGCTAAAGCTCCCTTTCCTCTTATATTTTTTGCCACGTTAGATTTTATCTGATAACCAGAAAGTTTCTTCTTTCTTTTTTCTTTTTCTTTTTTTTTTAACTCTTCGCTCTCTTTGCATTTTTTTTTTCCTTCGTCGCATTTTATTTTTTCCGTGAAAGATGATACGCGGACTTTTGCTCGAGCGAGCGCGGCCGGCTAGTTGAAAACAATAAATACCGGTCGGATTTCGCTCCAGTTACGATTTATTAAACCGGTAACATTTGTTTTGGAAATAACGAAGCCCGTTTGTAATATAAATTTGTTAATTGTATATCGAAACGCGTTTGCAGTTTGCAAATGAAAAGCTGTTGCTAGCTGGCGCGCGGGCAGGCGAAGCACTCGCAGGGAACATATTCAGTTCGAAAATGAAATTTGTATTTTCGGTCACGTTACAGACGAACGTTTTAATCAGCCTGGCAGAACCGTTTGCGCGATTTCGCACAAACACTGGGCGAAAGAGAGTCGTTCTTCCACAGCAGCCAGGCTGTGTCTTCCCTCTCGTTTTTCTAACCGACGTTTCCCTTCTTTCTGAATTATCTTGCGGTTCCCCGCTCGCGGGGCCACAGATTTTCATTTCAGATCTGGCTCCGGTACAGTGCAGAGGAGAAAATAGAAGTCGCTTCCCGTTGATTTCAATCTGTTTGACGGTGCTCTCCTCGCCTCCTCTTCTCGCTCGTGGGGGAGGGCCGCGGATGCGCCGGATGCTGGCGCATCGCGTCGCTGCCCGAAGACAACGAGACAAGATTCGCGACGCAAGGCATCCGTTATCGTGCCACGGCATCTCCCCAGCTATTTCACGCTCCCGTTTCTTTCCTTCCGTCCCCGGCCTTCTGTCCTCTTAGCAGGAACTTATTGGTCCCGCGTCCCGCGGAGACGTCCCCACCCCTCCCCCATCTCCCGAAGGACATTGATGCGCAATTACGTGAAAGTCCCGTCGTCACGGTCGTGTAAACTCGAAAAACCTGCGACTCGGTCCCCTGCGAATGGGCTCGTTCTCCTTTATAGCTATGTAAATCCGGTTCGGTAGTGAATTTTATTGTTTCGAAAAATCGTTTCTTATCGCGTTGCAAGAGAGGTTCTTGTTGATCGAAGGACGACGATGCTGCGAAGGTAGAGTTCCGTGCTCTAACGTGTGTTCGCGCCGAGTAATTAAACGTAATAGGTTCAATTCGATAATGATGTTTGTTTTTGGACTGCGTGCAAGACTCGTACAAGCAAAACAAGTTTGGGCTATATTCTAATTAACGAACGCTTCGCGGGATTGTACGAAGTTAATTTCGCTGGGAAGTTTATTATTATCTCGCTGTTGGAATAATATTAGATTAGCCCGGAAAGCGTGAAAAGGGTTGCGTTCAGGCTATTATTGATGCACGGGCTAAGATTCAATAATAGATTGAAAATTGCATTGGATGCAGAAAAACAGAAAATATGGTTACAAATATTTGTAATGTGATTAAATATCTCGTTCTTAAATGTATCAGAATACACAATCTCCTTATGGACTCCGATTTCAATTCAATGGCTGACGTTTATGTTTAATTTAAAATTTGCAAATAGGAATTCAATCCTCAAGGTATAAAAAAATTATTCAAATAATGGCATTAACATGTATGATAGAGTTTTAAAAATAGATCAGGACATGATAATGTCTCGAATATTTTCTCAGGATTTTCTAATAATTCCAGCATAGAATGTACGTATTCCCTAAATTGTTTATTAGTTTATGTTTATATGTATGTAATTCATCTTTGAAAATTTTCATCGTATTCTCGGTTATAATAGCATCTGAAATTGATAAGAAAAAAGGGCTCGAATTATTCCGATATTTTGCATAAGATTAGGCGCGCTTTCTTAATATCATTTGCCCTTGCCTCGCTGATATCGATATTTCCCTGAAATAGCCTCCGATATTATCAGCGAACATTTTATACAAAGCAGTACGTTACTACGGGTCGGATTTAACGTGGAGATCCACTCCCCAGAGTTTTAGTTTTCGATCGCAGCTGAACGTAGAATCGACTGCTATCTCTCCCCCTCTCCCTTCCCCCTCCGCCCTTCATCTTCTCTCCAGCACCGGCAGGTAGGCGTCTCTCGAAAAGCGCTTAATCCTCCGGCCAGTCGAAAGCCCCTCTGCCGGTATTACGGCAAACGCTGATTTGTGGTCGCGGCAGCGACATTATTTATAATTTGTGAGTATTAATAGCTGACTCACACGTGTATACCTACGGGGGATATATATTGTACCAGATCCTTTTCAGTCTCATCGATCTCGCCCATCGTCGATAAATTTCCTTCTCGTTCGTGGCCAGTTGTACAAGTTACCGCTTCTATACTGCGGTTTCCGTATCACCGTGTATAAACATACACGCGCACGCACATACGCACGTATATATATATATATATATATATATATCTCTGTATGATCGCGACGTAGCGATTTCAATCTCCCCCCCCCCTCCCCCCACTTTTTCCCCCCTTGACAAAGCTATGAGTTTCTGGCGGAAACGCGCCCGGGCGGGAGTAATTATTAATCCCTTCATCGTCGTCGGGCCGACGAAGCAACGAAGCTGACAATGAAAGCCGCTTTAATTTTTAACGGCGCGCATACGTAGAGGACAGTACATATGCGAGCGTCAGAGGAGCCGCAGAGTCAGTCCCGTTTTCCAACCGCGGCCGATGTCGCGCGGCATTGTTCTCCTACTGCGGCCACCGTCTTTCGCGGTCAGGGGGGAGAAAAGAAGAAAGGGTTGGTCGATGAAAGGCGAATGAAGACGGACGTGTTCGGGCGTACGCTGGGAGAACGCTGAAAGGTTTTCCGACCGACGGGAATACGTTATTCCACGGGACTGTTATTCCGCCGCGGAATCCACGGACTGGGTATACGGTGCGCCGTGATAACGGAATCAGATAGCTACCGTGCCATCTCTTGCCACGGAATGATACCTTACGGGGATATAACTCACCGTTTCCAGGCCGATACCTTTACGGGGAGGAGGCATGCATCAGACTCGACCCTGTAGCTTTACGTAAGCCGCGAGATACACCCCTCTCCTTCGTCTACGCCATTGTCCGCGATGGCTTATTCTCGAAATTGTCGACCGGGGCGTAATAAACCGTTCGGAAACTGCCAATCAGTCGATAGAACTTAACTTGGAACGGTGGACGTGATAAGGGCGTGGACTGGGCACGACACCGTCACTCTAACCACCATCGCTTTCATATTAACTCCCTCTTCCCCTCCTTCGTTGACCTGGATCGAAAGATTCGTCGGTTTTGTGAAAAAAA